GGCTGCTCGACGTCCCTCCTCAACAGAGGCCTTTTGCAAGTCCAGCCGAAGCGTATCATTTTCACGCCTCAACCGATTCATATCGGCAACAAGGTCCCTGTTCTTGGACATTAGATCTTCCAAGTTAGCCAGAGCTTCAGCCGTAGACTTGTCGGCCTCTTCCAACTTATTTTTCAAGCTCACCAACTCGCTGGTCGGTTCCATCGCGAGGTGATGAGCAAGCACCATTGATCGTGCTTGAACCTCACAAAAGTAATTCCACTTGGAGACGGTGTCCCACCGATCCAAGTACTCGCGCCCGACATCCGACACAGCATCGGGCCGAACCATAGTATTTGCCGATACGTCCTCGCTTAAGAAAGCGCGTGACATAAGTGTGGGGAGCACCACAATGATGCTCCGGTTCAGCGAGGGCCCGCGGCTTGTTTTAGTTTCTTTGGCTTGTCGGCCTGCTCTTGATCATTCTTTCTCTTGGAGTCACCCTGGTCAACCTCTTTGCCCTTGTTACCCTTTCGACACTTACGATCGGGAGAAGGAGGATCTCGTTCATCCTGCAATGGCCGCGGCGTGCGAGCCACAACCGAACTATCACCCACCCCTTCGGCTTGTTTGGCCTGCGCCATCCTATCGGCCAGCAAGTTCTGAATGTTGAACGCATTGACGCCACTAGATACCATGATTCTTGCAAAGACAATGAAGTGAACATCAATATGAATTTAGTGTGCCGCTGAAGTAGGACAAATCACTTACCTATCAAGTCGTTATCCCATTCGGGGGACTCAATCACGTTTATTAGCGACCTTGTCAGCAAGCGCTGAGGAAGGCGAAGCAATAATTTCAAATTCTTCTGCTCTTCGGCTGTGAGAAGCTCTTCCGGCACAATATCGTATGGCCGAGGGGCACACGTCCAGTACAACAGAAACAAACTTTTGTCGTTCTCACCAAAGAAGAAACAACGTCCATTCAGACGAATGGTCACTCGGCAGAACCCAACTTTGAAATTCTTATATGAAGAAGTAAAGTTGTCTAAAAGTTGCCGACTCCCCACTCAGCTTAGAGACACCCACTTCGCCAAATCAGACAGTCTAGAAGTATAGAAGTAAAGAAAAAGAAGTGGAGAAGGCCTAATGCTCAGGCATCGGCACAGGTGTTTGAAACCTTGCAGTTGAGCCTCGCTTCGGATGCAATTGCATCAGCGCCACGTTCAAAACTCTTAGCACCCCCATGGTAAACTCGTCAAACGATAGTCTCACTTTGAGATCTCGCAGGAGACAGTCATAAATATAGAATGAATCCATCTTCTCTACGTGCTTGTCCAAACAAACCATGTCGGGATTCGGAAAAGCGTTGTTTCGGCAAGACCGAACCCTGATCGGATATGGCTCCTCCCTTGCATCAAAAGTTAGACACTTGGTATATTCCAAAAGGTTTGTAATCATCGTAGTGTCTCGGTAATGAGAATAGTACGATGTCACTTCCTCGTTTACCCACTCGTACTCAGGCACTTCGGGACTCCCGCTAGTGGATGTCTCTTCAGAAGTGTCTCCACTCCCAATAGGTCATTCGACTTCATTCAGAGATGGTATTTCCGTGCATGAATGACCCGAGTCACTAGACGACAACCCCTCAGATGACGATGGTCGAGCTCCACTAGCCGAAGAGCTTTCGGAAAAACTAGCCATAATACTAAACACTTACCGAATACAAGACTTTGAAACGGTCACTTGGCACGCTTGGATCGGTCTCAGAACTCACTCAAAAATTCACCTCAGATTGAAAGCGAAATACGTGGTGGGCTCTAATGCCCATGGTTTTATATAGCCAAGAAAAAAGGCAGGAAAATTCAAATATAAAAATCACAACCGTCAAATCCTACAGATCCAACGAATTCAGATTGTGTAACCTTTCAACTCCTCCGCTCAGAATCTTAACTGACTCCACTAAGGGAGAGACGAGATGGTTACCCGTGGACATTATTACCCTTGAAGAGGATTTTCTCTCTCCAAGGCTGGGGGGAAAATGTACAGGTAATACCGTTCGGCCACACCATTTGGTACGGAAAACCGATAAGAGTGGCCGAACGATGTAGCCAAAGGAATGACTCGACAATTGATCACACCAAGTAACCGACGCCTGGTCGGCCAAACCGAAGCCTTAGAGAAATACGTCATTAAATCAATAGTTATCCTTAATTAAGGATTAAGGGGTAATCACTCGAAGAAGCTAATTAGGGACGTATTACCTAATCTGGTAATCCTAGTATCGGGCCCATGGAGGACAGGGCCCATTAATGTCACTATAAATAGCTCGTGTCTCAAGGTAACGTCACTGTTCATTAATTATCATTGATATTCGTGTTTGTCCTGACTTGAGCGTCGGAGTGCCTTTTGCAGGTACCCTCCCTCTCACCGGAATATTCGTTTGGAACTCTCGTTCGGCCTTCAGAGTACAAGAAATTTACTAGTGTGCCCTTCAGACATGTACACTTTTCATTATTTGGATATAGTAAGATCATCTAAAAGTTGAAAAGATTAAGAGTGTTTAAAATCAAATCAACTCAAACGAAAAACGACAAATCAATAAAAAAAAACCAAAAAAATGATAAGAAACCACAAATTAGTGATTTGATTTGGTTTTTAAATTTTCAAAATTGTGTAGTTTGGTTTGGTTTTCATATTGCAATTTAAAACCTTTCCAAACCAAATCGCACTTATTTATAAATATCTATTTTTTCAAAATGCATAGTGCATCTATACAAAATTGACACATAACATAAAAGTTTATAAAAATTATAAGCTACTAAACTAAATATTAGAATGAAAAATTATGATTTATTTATAATGTTCAAAAATAATTTTTTAAGTGACAAATTATATATATGAGAAAAAATATTTAATATGATAATTAAAGTTATATTAAAGAAATATTTTTACTAAAATAATAAGATAAAAAATAATATTAAATATATTAAGTGGTCGAAATATTTTAATATTTGCATACTTTTAGTTTTATTTTTTTTATGTACGATCTAAAACAAATAACATATTATTATATATTTTTAGTTAATTTTTAAATAACAAATTTTTGAAATCATAAAAATCGAACCAAACCAAAATGCAAAAGATTGGCTTGGTTTGGTTTGATTTGATTTGACTTAAATTTCATAATTTGTTCAAATTGATCCAAATCAAACTACACTTAATTTTCGTGTTTGGTTTGGATGACTTTTAAGGTAAAAATCAAACTGAATCTCACTACGAGAACCTTAGAAAAGATGTTACACTCGCGACCTATAAATAAAGTAAATTTCGTATTTCATGATTTGAAATAATGCGATTTAATTATAAAAATAAAAATAAAAAGATGTACCTCTTTTTCATTTGTAAGCAAATTTTTATTATTTTAGAATAATTGCTTTCAAAATTTTAGTAAGTTTCCCTTAATATGAAAATCAAAAAACATAAAACTTTTTTGGAATTACATTTGTTTCAAAAGTCATTGGTTTTAACGGAGAAGGTAAGTAACAATTTTGAAAGAAAAAATTCAATAAAAGTTATGTTTATGTCACATGACACGAATATGTTAATTTGATGCTATTTGTGGGTCAGGAAATCAACGTTTAAGAGGTCATATTGTAAGTCTAAAACACAAATTTGTATTCAGTGCAATTTCAAAAAATATTTAAGGAATGCAAGCGTAATTTACTCTATTATTTTTTCTGTCTTATAAAATTATTCATTTAAATGATCCTTGTTTACTATTGGGTTAAACATCTTTTTCATCCTCCAAAATATATAAATGTTCATTTTTCATCTCTCAATTTTAAAACATCGACTTTTGGTCCTCAATTTTTAAAAATGTGTCAAAATTTACCATGTTGCTAACTCCATTAACTCAATTTAATGATTATCCTAATTATAAAAAAGAATTAATCATTTATACATTGTCAGTGTAACTTTACACTGACAATCAATCATATCTTTTAAAGTTGTTTATTTTATTATTATTTCATTAAATAAGCAACTGATATGACACTATTAAAAGATATGATTGGTTGCCAGTGTAAAAAAAACTTTATACTGACAGTATATAAGTGATTAACTCTTATAAAAATACATGTCATCACATGTTTACCTAAGATCCACGTATGCTTAAGTGGTCCAAGGCGCATGTAAGGTATTTAAAATCTTATATATATATATATATATATATATATATATGTGTGTGTGTGTGTGTGTGGTATTACAAAAGGTAGAAGTCCCACATTGGTTAATATTACCTTTGAAAATGGTTTATATATTAAGTTATGATATAGGCATACAAAAAGACTAGAAAAAGAGGAAAGGCTTGCACACAAGTAAATGGGCCAAGTGGGCTTCTCGTAGTGCAAATCAGATTCTGGTTCTTAAATTAAAAGTGTATAATACACAGATCAAATGTTAATCAACTGATATCAGGTCTAATCTTTAAACTTGAAAGTCTTAGATTCAAGTATTGACTTTGCAAGAATATTTAATTTTTAATATAATTTTTTTATTATTTAAAAATTTAAAAATAAAATAATCTAAAAATTATTTATAATTTTTATTATTTAAAAGTAAAACAATCTAAAAAATTTGTGTACACTATAAGTATAGATATAAATAAATAAATATATATATATATATAAAAGGAAAACACATTTATGTAATAGACTTATTTCACTAAATAAATAAATCTAAAAATTTAAATAAATAAATACAAATTATTTGATATTTAATTTCATTAATAATTCATATTTTTCATTAAATTTTAACTATTCGTTACGTTAAAACATTTTAATATATATATAAAAAAATTTAATTTTTAAAAAAAATTTAAAAATTATTTAATATTCTATTTCTTTAATTCAATCGAAAAATATTCGTAGAAACATTTGTTTTTATAATTGATTGTAAAGCAAGAATAAAATATGTGTATACGATATATCCAAGATATTAGAAGCAACAAGCCAACAAGTATCCTAGATAATAGAAGCAACCAGCCAACAAGCAAGGGAGAGGGGAATGATGGAGATGAATCAGAATATTAGGAGGATATGGCTAAGCATCATGTGATGCCTGATTCTTTTTATGTGATGTAAAGTACAAACTGCTTCATTCGTATTCTTATGATTTTTTTGACTTAACAAATCTATCTGCGGTGCCAGATAAGTCACATTCCACTTGTACCCTCTTCGACAAAGTTAAATTTTTTAACGTTATGAAGTTGGAGCAACCAACAAAATGGTGGTTAAGGAAGATTCACTTGCTTTTCTATTTCTGTGGCCATTATTAGGAGCAGAATAAAGGAAAAGGTTGATTTTTTATGCAAGTTATTAAAAAAGGCACTGTTTTTGGCTTATGGGTATTTAGTTGAAAGTTGAATTCTTTCGTATGAGCAGAGTGAAGGTTGAAGGGATAAAAAAGATGGTTTTTTTTCTACTTGAGGGCGGTGACTTGGGAACTTAAAGTATGATGAGTCTGTAGAGTTCTTTTGCAGAGATCTGAGAGAATGGAACCTCCTACGGGAATTTGTGCTTCTTTGTGGAGTTTCATACGCTTTCTTCCTTATTTCATCGGGCTTCTGCTTCTAGGGAGCATCAAAGGTGAGTGGCAATGGATCTGTTTGTGTTCTTCTGGGAAATTTTTTTTTTTTGGTTTAGTTGGGAATTTAGTGTTTGGTTTTTGTGGATTTCCCACTTTCCAATGCACGTTGAATCGAAATCCACTCTCCCAAATCTCGTACATTTAACAAAGGCAACGTCAATACAAACACACCTTAAGTTGAAGTTAGACATGAAGGGGATGATTTCTGAGAATGAAGTACTGAGGGACTACCTTTCCATATCTATTTATTGTTATTTATAATTTGTTAAAATTTCAGTGCTTTGCTGCGAAATTTATTCAACTTTCTTTTCCTAAACCAATGGTGAGGTGGTCGGGTGGAGCCTGGTGTGGGGTTTTACACGTGTTCCCTTGTGACCTATGTTTGTTGACAAATTATTCATTTTTATTAAATTAATTGCTGCCAAATGTCTAATATTATGAATTAGGGGAAATAATTGTTTGGCTTCGGATTAATCTTGTGGATTTGTTGATATGCACAAGGTGTAGTATCATAGAAACACAGTTTTGAAAGTGAAAAGAAGAAAGGAATATATTTGAATGATAGCCAACTATATTATAGTTTAAGGTCAATTTGGTCATATTTTGAGGCAACACTAAGGAATTTAAACAGTTTATGTTCTTGTATGTCAAGCTTACTATACTAGAGAACTAAGTGTAGGGTTTTGTGTGAGGAGTATGATTGTAAACCTTACCATTGCTCAAACTGCCAATCACTTCAGGAGTCCTTCTCTTCCCTTTGATATGCTTAATAGTGACAATTGGGAACACTGTGATCATACTCGGACTTTGGACAGCACATGTTGTTTGGACATATTACTGCGTTGTTAGGTGATTTCCTTGACTGCCACTCTTTCAAGTTTCTCCTCATTGTTCTATTCATGTATTATGAACTTGTAATTACTTTCTCATAGTGATTTTTCTAACGGACAGAGCTAAACAATTAGGACCTCTTCTGAAGATTGTTATCTGCCTATGTGTACTACCAGTGCTGTTGATTTCATGGCCGTTGGTTGGTATTCTTGGAAGTATTGTAGGTGGTGCAGCCTACGGATTTCTTTCACCAATATTTGCTACTTTTGAAGCTGTAGAGGAAGGAAAAGACGACAAGTTTTTCCACTGTTTTATTGTATGTTTCACTTTTAGTTGTTAAAATGCTTGTTACATCTGTTTTCTGCTCTTACCAATTACAGGAATTCTTTACATAATTGCCAGGATGGTACATGGAGTACTGTTGAAAAAAGCTGCATGGTTGTCAGGGATGTAAGAGATGTTTGTTTTCACTCATACTTCTCAGTTATGGATGACCTGCGACAAAAAGGACCTCCAAATGCTAAATACTATGAGATCAGGTTTTGTCATTGTATGCCTTACTATGTCTGTTTAGGTTTTATGTCGTTGCGTGAGGGTGTGTATTGGTGCAACGGTAGGGTTTATGTCTGGTGACCTGGATGTCACAGTTTCAAAACCTGGAAGCAATCTCTATGCTTGCCTGGGGTAAGGCTGTGTACACCTACCCTCCCTTGACCCTTAGTTGGATCATTTTGTAGATTCATCTTATGTCTTTAAAGAATTCCTTGGAATTTTTGTGTGTCCAGATCCAAATTTTATGTTCATAAAGATGTTTTTGAATGAAAGGGTCACTTAATAGTAATTTCTCCAATCATGTCTATCTGGAGTGATAGTGGTTAAGTTCTTTCTTTTGGTTCAAGGCTCCATTATTTTCCCCATTTGAGTTAGACTTTATGTAGATCACACTTTACACTTTTCAGCTTTTCAAAATTTAAACCTTAGTTGTGCAGTCTATATGTTATTGACTTGAATACCAGTTATTTTACTTTGAAATTATAGGAGCTGTGAGTTGTGAATGTTAAATTAAAAAAATATATATAAAAAAATGTCAATGTTACCTCAAGTCTGAGAAGGCAGAATGGTTTCACAGACTATAGATCAGTTTGACTTCCTGAATATTAGTTACTTTTGAAAACTCAACTCTTGAAATCACAGAGGGCACAACTCTTCTGTATTTAATACTTACTAAACTGTGTTGGTGAGGTTATTTTAATCTTGTATCATTTGCATGCCAAACTTATTATAGCAAGCTTTAGCATATTATAGAAAATATTGACAGAAGACACTGGTCTTGCACAGAATCTTAAAGAATGAGAATTTTTGGGTGAGATATCTTCTGGTTTTGGAGACATTTCAGTAAACAGTAGAAATTGAAGTAAAAAATAAATAAAAATTAATAACCAAAATGATTCTCTCAGATAATTGTTCTTCCAAATTTTGCCGTGTTTTTGGCTCAACCAACATATGGTGAACCAGGTAACACTAATTGTTTAACTATGTTCTCCTTTCTTATGCATTTTGTGTTAGTTGTATCTTTGGTGTTTTATAGATTCAACTGTACTTTGAAAGAAAACAAAATGATCTGAATTTCTGTTTTTTGGGAACATAAATCATAATATTCCAAATATGATGTTGTCAGATGCAGGACTTGTGCATTATAATTTATTTAGATTTTTTTCTGATTTAATGCAGGCTGCTTTATCTTCCTGGTGCTTTAATTGCTGCAGCTATTGGAATCATGGTTGATGGGCTAATTATATCATTTGTTGCCATATGCAAAGGCCCATACATGCTTTTTAAGGGGTGGCATAGATTGTTTCATGACCTCATTGGCCGCGAAGGCCCTTTCCTGGAGACTATATGTGTACCCTTTGCAGGTCTTGCTATCCTTCTGTGGCCACTGGCTGTTGCTGGTGCAGTTCTGGCATCAATGTTAGCAAGTTTCTTTCTTGGTGCCTATGCAGGGATTGTTGCTTATCAGGTCAGTCCCCATATCTTTTCACTCCCTATTTGTACCAAGCTACTACTGTTATTATGAACCTTGGTGTTTGGTGTCCAACTGTACCCTGAGAAAGATATGAACCTTGAGCAGTTGAGGTTTGCCATTCTCACGACACTAGCTGAGGGATAATGATCAGGAATGGAGTTGAAGGATAAAAGGGGGCTCAAGAAAGTTTATGAAAATTTGCACGAAACTAGCTGAGTCTATCAAAAAATAAGTTTTACAGCGAGTTACTTATTCTCTACCTTGAATATTAAGTTCATCCTATTATATGAGTTGACTTGCAACTTTGACATTTGACAATGTTGCAGTCAGACTAAAACTCCTATGTAGGATGAGAGGAAAGGTAGCTGTCTGTTTTGTGAAAGTAGGCTGGTACTGTCCAAGGATTCCTTTCAAATACCTACCATCTTCAAGGAGTTCCACACTAGAATGGGTGTACATTTATGGTATTCTAAAGTTACTAGGGGTAGTCACGAGGTTTACAGTGAGAGTAAAGCAAAATCAATTCAGCAATACAAAAAAGGACTGTAATCAGGTAGGAATCAAATTAAGGAAGCATCAACACTTGTCAACTTAGTGGACAGTTTTATTAAAACTAGATATAAGAGAGTTGCTCACATGCTGCATTGGAAAGGAGTGAAGGTTAATATAAAATTATGTTGCTTTCCTGTGACAACTGCCAAAGGAACACGTACTAAGCTCTTTCTCCTGGTGGTCTGTTGCAGCCTTTGCCAATAGTACAGCTATGCAGTAACATTTTGATAGAACCTGGACCAATAGGTTAGGTAAAGAAGAGAAAACAAGACTGCTTAACTGTTGATAATGAAGAATTAAGGAAACAACGTAGCCCAGGTAATTTGAGGAACTTGTAGCCTCCCAAACAATTCAGAATACTTCTCTACCCTCTCTAATTATATCTCTTATGTATATAGTTTTCTGTCTTCCTTCCCCAACCCTAATTATTGTAAGGCTTAAATACATTTTTAGTTTCTGTAAAATGAGTTACTTTTGATTTTGATCCCTATAAAAAAAATTGTTTTTCATCCCTTTAAAATTGAAATTGTTGTTTTTAGTCCTTAGTATTTTGTGATCCTTGTTAACTACTTTTGTGTATATCATACGGTCCAATGATCATTCCTAGTGACACTCATAACTATATTTGATACTATGTTAGTATGTAACACCTCTAATAACAGTAAAGATAAAGATAACGATAGACTAATAACAGAAAAGATAATGATGGCCTAAGTCCTTTGCGCCTTCCTCCTCATGTAGACCTGCCAAACAGGGGGCACACCTATCAATAACACCCCATGCCTTCCTCAGTATGCATCTTGTCCTCAGATGCTCATTTGGTCTTCCATGTTTCATTGTTAAAGATGTTAGTAGCTATAATTGTCGGCAGTCAACAATTACCTCCTGCAATTTCAGAGAACTGGGAGCTAAGAGTATATCTTTATTGTGATGCTGCAATTGAGAACAAGACATGATGGTAAAGGGGAGGTGATCATTTGCAAGATCCATCTGACTACGTTCCTTGGGATTTCACCTTGAGAACATGGTCAAAGTGCTGGCAGAGAATACCGTTATCCATTACTCAAGTATAGCATTAGGAGAAGCATGTGAGGAAGGAGAGATAGTGGGAAGAATATTGTTGTCATTTTGTAGTAACAGCATGTTTTTTAGTTGAAAGGAAGAGGGAGACATGACATGGGAATTTGTTACGGATGAGTGAGCTGAATGTAGTGGAAAGGCTGAGAGGTCGTATTAGTAAGCGTGTATTAACTCTTAGGTTGTGTTTGGATAAAAAATTTTAAAGTTTCAAAGAATTTGAAATTCTTGAAATTTGAATTATCTCGATTTAAATTTCTTTCATTTATTAAATGTTTTGTTTGGATAAATTAATTCAAATTCTTTAAATTTTGAATTCTTAGTTTGAATAAGTCAATTTAAATTCCTTAAATTTTGAATTCTTAGTTTAGATAGAGTGGTACAGAAATTACTTCTCCTTGATCTATCAGGCTTTTTCATTTTCTGATATAATTTCCTTTTGTACTGATATGCTTCTGTTATTTCAATCTATGACAGTAGAAGGGGATCCCTATGTGATTGTGTGAATAAAGTAAAATCTATTTCTATCCACATCTGGCTGCTGGGTTCCTAACTGTCTGTTTCACTGTGTTTATTTGTTCTTTGAAATGTAGGAGTCTTCTTTCTTTTTCGGCCTTTCATATGTTGTTGCTGCTTTGGCCATTTATGATGAATACAGCAATGATATTCTTGACATGCCAGAAGGAACATGTTTCCCTAGGTTTTTTTTCTGCTCCCATGTATTTATCACTGTAACTTGAAGTTAATGCTCTTATATTATTTTTACACATTTGATATCTGCTAGGCCTCAATATCAAAAAAAAGCTGATTCATCTCAAAGAACTTCTCATTCAAATTCCATCTCAAGACCAAGCTCCTTCCGGATGGCTCCTTCTCGCACATCTTCCATGAATAATAATATTGTCGAGTTGAAATCATTCGAGGTATTCTTCCAAGTATCTTGTGTCCAATGATGCATGACTTGAAATATCATCACCTTTATCTTCCTTGGATGTTCATGTTTTGCTGCTTGGATCTGTATTAAATGAATATTGTTCATGAATTGTATAGCTGTTGGATGGCTTATTCAAGGAATGTTGCCGTGTTGGAGAAAGAATGGTTTCTGAAGGTATAATTACAGGAAAAGACATAGAAGAAGCCAAATCTGGTAATGGAAATAGAGTTATTAGTATTGGTTTGCCAGCATATTGCTTATTCCACGGTCTCTTGCGCTCTGCCAAATTCAATTCCATGGGTATATTAATTAGTAAGTGCAACCCTTCAAGCAATTCTTGTTGTCTTTCCCCTTCCCTCACTCCTTTGTTATTTTTTTCTCTCTTTCCTCTAGGCTTCTATCACTTTTCCCTGCCCCTTTGTCATCTCTTTTTGAGATTATTTTCTTTTAAACATTTTGGTTACTACCTCAATGTAGGTGATGATACTGAACTAACTACCACAAACAGACCAAGGGAGATATTTTTTGAATGGTTCCTTAATCCCCTTTTGATCATGAAAGAGCAAATCAAAGCTGAGAATCTTTCTGCCTCAGAAGAGGACTACCTCGGCAAATTAGTTCTCTTAAGTGGTGATGCTGAGAGATTGAAAAAATCAAGCATTGGCCCTGCCCCTGAATCCGAGGTCAAACGTGCGGAACTTGATGCATTGGCTAGAAGGTACTTATAGAGCAAAGTTCGGTTAAAATTGAGTTTAAAGTGAAGTGATTTATGTTTGTAGCAAAAATTAATGCTAGTTTGGATAAATTCTAAACAAATACGTAAGTTAAACTCTTTGCATATGTTAAAATCAAACTTATGAACCTCAACTTTTTCAAGTACAACCTCATCTAACTTTTCCATTAACACCTATAACTTATAAGAGCTTTTATTGTATGTTAGGAATCAAATACTTATAAGTGTATATTTGGAAATTCATTTTCATGGTTCACGTCAATCCACCAAATATGTTAAAATCAAAATTATGAACCTCTACAAATACAAAAGTCACACTTTTTGCATATGTTAAAATCAAACTTAAGAACTTCAACTTTTTCAAATACTCCCTCATCTAACTTTTCCATAAACACCTATAAACTTATAAGGGCTTTTATTTATAAGTTAGGAATCAAATACTTATAAGTGTATGTTTAGAAATGTTTTTTTCATGTTCTCGTCGATCCATCAATCTTTTGCTTCTATGTGTTGCTGCATTGGAATGGGTGAACTTCCCATAGAAAGATATAAACTGGTTTGCAAAACACTATTATTATACAATTCTCAACAAAATACAAAAGTTAACTTTTTTTTAAGGTTTTCTGTCTCATTTTGTTTTCATTCTCTGATGATACACAGGCTGCAAGGGATCACCAAATCCATGTCAAGGTTCCCAACCTTCAAACGACGCTTAGATGATCTTGTAAAATCGTTATCCAATGATCTGACTGAGAAGCATGGAGGTCCAAGTCCAACAATGACCAGATCAAAGAGTGCCTTTGCTCGGTTGGTTACTTTTAAATCTTTCAAGGGTACAAGAACTAACGGGTCTGGTCAAGGGTCACAACATCATGTTGTAAGAGACATCGAAAATTAATGATAAGAATACCGTTATATATTTTTAACACCCCAAAAGAAAAATTATGTCGTAGATGTAATCTTCAGTCCATTTTGGATAGAAAATTGAAGTGTAATTGACAAATAAAATGTAATATCTCACCTTGTTATAAGCATATTTGAGAAAGACGTAGCCTCAGAAAAGATCAAGTTGTGGATCTCATGTTACATTTTCATTATGTCGACTTGCTATACTTCTCTCGAGATCAATGACTCTGATGGGAAACCTGCCTAGAATTGATCTGTTACCTTTAGCATTAATTGAAGTGCACATTTTCCCCAAGCTTGTTCAAGGTTTTTCTCTCCAAGATCAGGTGGTTCTCAAGGAGATTTTGTGTTTGCTTGAATTACAGTTTCACATGATTTTAAAATGCAACAAAAGGAGCATCCTAAAGAGTATTTATTTTAAGGTTAAAATAAAGAGTATTTATTTATAACCAAGGGAGCATCCTAAAGAGTATTTATTTTAATCTTTATAATTTCACTCATTTTATTGTTTTATACCTATAGTTTAAAATAGATATTTTTAATTTATATACTTACATTTTAATCTTTTTTAGTCTCTACTGTTAATTTTGTTTTGTAACAGCATTTTCGTGTGAGTAACATGAGTTTATTATTAAATCCATGTGACAGTGATTTATTTGGTTTTATGAACAATAATGTATCATTTAATGGTTTATTATGTATTTATCAATAATTTGATTGTTCAGTTGGATCACATTCAATTATGTAAATATTGACCATTCATAAAATCATATGGACTCTATTTTTTCTCTCTCTCAAACCATTAAATGATACATTATCATTTACAAAACTAAATATATCATCCTCATGTGAATTTAATCAGGACTAGTCCAAGGACAAAACTAACAAAATCCTTGTTTGGACCCCTTAAAAAATATTTTATATTAATATTTATATAATTTTTTAAGGCTCTATAACTTTAAAAGTTACTTACATTTTATTCCTATAGTTTAAAATAAACATTTTTAGTTTATATACTTACATTTTAATCCTTCTTAGTCTTTACTGTTAATTTTTTTTTGTAACGTCATTTTCATATAAGTAACACGAGTTTATTATTAAATCCATGTGACAATGATTTATTTGGTTTTATGGAATGTAATGCATCATTTAATGGTTTATTATGTATTCATCAATAATTTGATTGTTTAGGGACCACATTTAGTTATGTAAATAGTGACTATTCATAAAATCATATGGACTCTTCATTTTTTTTCTCTCAAATTATTAAATAACATCATCGTTTACAAAACTAAATATATCATCCTCACATGGATTTTATCATGACGACACCAACAAAATTCTCGTTTGGACCCCTTCAAAAATATATTTTATATTAATATTTATATAATTTTTTTAAGGTTCTATAATGACATTTTTTTAATATACTTTTTTCTATTTTATTTCCTAAGCAACTTCACCCCTATTTTATTTATCAAAATAACTCAATCACTATTTAAGGTGAGAAATCAGTTGAGGGGAAATTGATTTCTCACCTTTCAATTTCAGTTCCCTTCCCATTTTGTATATTATACCTGTTTGAGAAATCGGTTGTTGAGAAACTGATTTCTCAACAGGTTTTTTTATTTTTTATTTTTTATTTTCAATTTTTGTTAAACTTTTTAAATCTAAATTTTTTTATTTATTTAATAAATATAGATTAGTTAATATTTTGTATGAATTTAATAATTTTAATTTTGGTCAAAGATATAAATATTTTAATACTTTTGAATAATTCGGTTTTTTTTTTAATAAATATAGATATTTAAATAACTTTGATTATTGAATTTTTATAACAATATTATTTTATGAAATACTGTATGTTTAAATTCGTAGAAAAATATTTTTTTATAAATATCATTAAGAATGATTAATATTAATTCAAAATAATGTTAAATTTAAATTAACAATGTAGAATTGTAATTAATTTAAGTATTTGTTGTTAGCAATAATATCTTTCAAAAAAATATAAAGAATAATATATTTTTTAATAATGAAATTACATTTTAAAAATATAGAAAATTTAATATTATAATTTAGTAAATCATTTGTTAAAATTATAAATATGTAAAATTTAATTATTATTTTTATTTCCTTTAATTTGAGACATAGGAAATGAAATTATACTTTAATTGAGATGAATAATTTTAAAATATTTATCCCAACAAAATAGGAGATCCAATAAATAAGAATAACACAATCACAATCTACCAAATTACATAACAGCAAGCTAGTTTAATGATGTCTATGCCGACCAGTTCCACACCTTGGAGGTTGTCGATTCCTTATTGGGTTTCGACGACCAATGCGTGGTTGTTGTGGTTCAACTTGCTCCTCATCATGTCCTATATGAATAGTATCTGTGTCTGGATTCGATGAAACACTTCCACCGACCTCAGAGTGATAAGAAGAAAATGAAGAAAAATTCATGTTTTGCATGTAATCATATGTACTTTGTGGCTTGTGTACGTCGACGCCAAAAAGATTGCTCATGATGTCTTCTGTGGGAGTTGTTGTTGATGGTGGGGTGTACATGAATTGTTCATGGTGTGTATGAAATGGTGGATTCATTAAAAAAGATTGGGGATATTGTTCCACACTATAAGGTGGGTGGTTATCTCCAGTTACTGGGGTTTGTGATGGTATTAGATAATGTTGTTGAAATCCTATAGTTATTGGGAGTTGTGTACTAGAAGTGAATGCACCAAATGAAGAATATTGGCTACAAAGAAATAATTTTGAATTTTGAAACCATTGCAAATACTTAGGAGTGTGTTGGAGAGGCCCTTGAAGTGGTTGCCCAAAAACATGTTTGCATCTGTCTTTCCGAATAGAAATCCAATCTGCATGTTGTTCAGCCAAGTTGGTGTTGTTGTGTCCTCTCATGTCTATTTCGTGCATTTTATCAAAATTATGGGCTTCATTAATGAGGATTGGTTATCGTAAGCCAAATTGAAATTGGACTCTATCACTTTGATGTCATACTACAACTGCAAATGAAGTTAAAGCAGTACAAGAAGTCCATATTCTGGAATCCTTGTAAGCACATGTTGGCAATGAGGACTCAAATCCCCTATATGGCATCCACAGAAACTGGAAAAAGAAAAAGGTTTAGGGTATAAGTTAATTGAATAAAAGAGAGTATGTTTGAGAGAAGTTGACATCGTATTAACTCGTTATGATTCATGTTGTCATAGCTTAATCTGTAGCCAAGTAAGTCTCCATGAGGCGTGCTTGTAAATCTTAGCCCTCTTCCTGGCCATCTAAAAAAATTGTACATTGATAAAATTTTAGGTAGAATGTAGTTGTTCGATGTATTAAAGTGGTATATAAGTTAATTCATACCTCAATGCAAGCAGATATGTAATATCTCGTTCAACTCTTGGTTGGATGAAGGGCATGCGATACCAAGCCCAAGACTGCAAAAGCAAAGAACATCCACCCATTTTCTTTAACGATGGATAAATCGCCCTACACATTTCTCTATACAAATGTGCCAAACAAGTAGAACCCCAACTATATTGTCTTGCACGTTACAAGTCAACCAATAATGGTAAATACATTAAGTGAAGTCTGTTACCTGACTTGTCTGGCATAATTACATCACCAATCAACCCTAAGATATATGCCCTATAATGTTGGTGCAATTGTTGTTCAGTGGGTTCATCTGGTAGTGTAATTGTATGGTCTCTTAACCATTTTAGTTTTATGGTTGAGCCAATTAGGGCTTCCCTTTTCGAAGGTACGAATCCTAACAACTCATAACATAATTCTTACCAGTCAAAGAAAGTTGGTCCAATGACTGCTTTGTCGGCGATTCTCAAACCTAGTTGTAGTGCCACATCTTCCAAAGTGATCGTGCACTCACCAACTGGGAGGTGAAAAGTATGTGTCTCGGGTCTCCACCTCTCCACCAAAGACATTATCTGTTAAGTCAGACGAAGCAATTCCCAGCAAGATTTTGAACATGACAAATATAATGCATATTGTTATTTCTAACTTATATGTTAGTGTTTAAGATAAATATGAGAACAGATTGAAAAATGGAGTACGCATTTTTGCACATAGCATGTTTGGTTGAGATAAACGAAACATCAGACGAACTGATCAAGCATCAAGACTAAAACCTGGTCAAAAGCAAGATACAAGACAAAGCACACTAGCAGACGAAGTCTTGAAGTATCATATGAAAGGCCAAAACAAGCATCAAACAAGGCTAAGTCAAGAACAAGACAAAGTTGGAGCCTAATGGTCAACTAGACGAAGTTCAAAATATCAGACGATGGATAATCTAAGACGAAGCATCCTAGATGGAATTAAAAGTTTTCCATCTGCACAGCTGACCTGACGAAAAGAGAAGTCAAATCAGATGAAAGGAAAGGTCAAACCAGATGAAAGGAAAAGTCAAAGTCTAATTCATAGACGGAGACTCAAATTTCTAGACACAGATGAAGTATATTGAAATGCATTTGAAGTCCACTAGTCACAACGAGGAATATCATATATCGTCTCCATTCATAAGAAAAACACACGAAGTCATCCAAAAAAAAAATATGAAAAGAAAGAAGAAAAATAGAAGAGCGCGAATTCACAAGCAAAAGCTGCGAGTGTCAAAGCAAGTACACCTACTTTTCAAAAAAAGATAACGTCTTTGCAGCTACACTGACAGAAAGAGAAAAGAAATACCTAAGTTATGATTGAAGTCAAACATAAAAATAAACAAACTACGCAAAGGACTTCACGTAACTCAAATTTGGCAAGCAAACATTTAACGCAAGACCAAATGCATTAAATGAAAGATCTACATAGCCATGAACGAACTACTATCAGCACCAATGGGAAACTCCGTCTCAACGGACACATTCAAATTCAAACAACGGGCAGATTTATCACAAGGCTATAAATATCAAGACCTGAGAAGAGAAGAAATAGAGAAGTGAAGCAGCGAGAAAAGAAAACATTAAAACATTCTCATATCTCTTCCTATACAGTCTTGAATATCTGTGAAAAACTAAGATAGCTTATCTTAGTGAGTGTATAAATTACCCTATCCTCTCTACGAGAGTTACATACACACTCTAAACACATATCCTTGTAAAACTAAGGTTGAGTACCTTAGCGAGTGTAGAAACCATACTATCCTCTATGTGAGAGTTATACACACACTCAAAACCATTCATCTACTGTAAAGCCTGAAGAGGCTATTTGAAAGAATACTTGGAGAACCATAAGTGGTTTAAGAATACTAGCGTCGACAAGTGAAGTTGACGAATCAGGAGTGGTTGAGAATACTCGGGGAACCAGAAGTGGTTTAAGAATACTAATGTCAACGAGTGAAGTTGACGAACCAGAAGTGGTTGAGAATACTTGTAATTCGTTGTGATTAGTGGAACCCTTCAGTTGAAGGAGACTGGGCATAGCTCAGGTCGAGTGAACCAGTATAAAAACATTGTGCACTCTTTATTTCTTTTCAGACGAAATTTTATTTAACTATTATATCATTACAAATTTCGTCCACTTATTAAATCCTTTTTACAATAACCATTTCCAGATGAAAAATATATTTTTTCAACTCATTACTTAGAAAAATATTTTTACCAATAAGAAATTTCTTCTTCAAGCAGATGATAAATCATCAGACTGAAAAATCTTTTTCTGAGCCAACCGTGCATAGTTTCAAGTGTTCAAAGTAATATTTTCATTAGACAAAAAATAGTCTCGTTGCGAAACAATTTTAAAACTCTTTCGTTCACACACATTCAACCACCCCCCTTCTGTATGTTTTTCCGCTAACTTCATTATCAAAAAATCATCAATTTTAAAATTTCTGATTTTGGCAACTCGCCAAAGCCAGCAACCTCCAACAAGTGTTCAATTCTTGGGTCAGGTGCAGGCATAGAATGATAGTAAGATTGAATTACTTGACCACTTGTTGTCTGCAAATATGGTAGAATTGAAATGTTAGTAATGAATAATATTACTTGTAAACATTATGAAATATATATTAACTTACCATAAGATGAGTTTCATTTGACCTATGGAGGTGTTGTTTCCACAACACAGTTGAAGATGAAAAAGACATTCTTGAAGAACAATAGCAATAAAATTGAAGAATGTAATAGCTAAAGAGAATTGATCTTTTGTTGTGTGTTTAAGGTTAGAACGTATGTAGTGTATATATAGTGCAAAAAATTTGAGACAGTTAATATTATTGTGATGAATTAGTTTATTGTGTCAGGAATCAAATACTTTATGTAGAGTGTCATTGTCTTCGTGATAGAGTGTCAAGAATCCAAAGACTGTGCGCAGAGTGTCATCAATTGCTTTATCTCATTGCATCAGAAAGTTAATGCTTTATGTAGAGTGTCATTGTCTTTGTTCCAGAGCGTCAGGAATCCAAAGACTTTGTGCAGAGTGTCATCAATTGCTTTGTCCTAGAGCGTCAAAAATTTCATGCTTTATGAAGGGTGTCATTGCCTTGGTCCCAAAGTGTCAAGAATCCAATGACTTTACGTTTGTCCACATTAGCTTGCACGCACATCAGGAATCTAATGCTTTAGTCATGAGTGTCATTGATTCAGAGTACCATTGATTCATAGTGTCATTGATTCAGGGTGTCATTGATTTAGAGTGTCATTAATGCATGCGCGTTAGGAATCCAATACCTTTACTGATGAGTTTCATTGATAGAACCCTATCTCCACATTCTATTTAAATGAGACCATTCTTATTTTCAAATGTAGAGTGCAATTGATCCAAATATTCTTGTTTTCAAATTCAGATATACAAACTCTTTGTCTACTATAATGTATTCCTCTTCTTTTCGCGTGTTGGTCTTCTTCAATGGTGAAATCACTCAAACAAACAAAGGGGATACTTTTGTATCCTCTGACCTAATGTTTTTCTCAGTTACTCCACGTATCACACTTGATGCGTTGAAAGCCAAGATCCAAATAAGACTTAACTTACCACAACCACATTTAGTCAATCAACTTTACTTCTGATATCCACAAGTGATAGGTGAAGGAATGCTTAATTTTCAAGCTTTCAAGCTTACCGATGATGAAGATGTTCATGGTATGATTCAAATGGTTCGTAGCCATAAACTTTTTACTTCTGCTCAACTATATGCGGATCTCACACCAATAAATAACAACCCTCCACCTTCCTATCAAAACCAACATTTTCCTATGAAAACCAACCTTCTACCTATCAAAACCAACCTTTTTCCTATGAAACCAACCTTCTTCTTATCAAAATCAACCTTCATTATCCACACACAAGTTCTTTCACCCACCTAGTTTCTACCCTTTTCAAAGCACCTATGACTCACTATACCTGAATGATGATCCTTTACCACATGGATCCTTTACCAACCTCCTTACATTTGGAGTCCCACAAGAAGAAGAAGAAGAAGGAGTTCCTGAAGTTGGAGTTCCTAAAGAAGAAGTCGGTCCTTTTAGTAAGGGCAAAGATGATGTAAGACTCCAACGAGACGATGATAAGACGAACAAGATCTTAATCTACAACAGCCTCAACATGTAGGCACATCTTCAACCACATTCAATTTCCCATCACACATGCATAATGTTGATTTGCAAATAGATTTCGCCGACCCTGAGTATAGACATGCACTTGACCATGTTGATGTCAACTATGCTCCTAACACCCTGTTTCAAGGCATAACTTTCGACCCAAAGGAGGAAGTCCAACATGTTTTAAACGCATACCATATAAAGAAAGGTTTATATTATAGGGTGGAGAAATCGTCACCAACATTAATTGTTGCACGATGTGCTAACAATGGATGCGATTGGAGTTGTAGAGCAACTTTCATTAATAAAAGCCAAAAAATGGGAGGTTCGTAAGATATCAGATGAACATTCTTGTTCATCCCCTGTTATCACACAAGATCATGTCAACCTTGGCTATGTATATATTAGCAAAAATATTCTTGCATTGGTGGAGAGTGATCCATCAATTTCAATTCCAACAATAATAGCACGCATCAAAAGTGTTGAAGGGTACACAATCTCATATCGCAAAGCATGGATGGCAAAGCAAAAGGCAATTGAAGACTTACATGGAAATTGGGAACAATCTTACCATGATTTACCCAAGTTGCTCAATTCCATGACAATATTTCTTAATGGATTTGTTATTGAGAAGCAAACAAGGCCACTATACAACCAACAAGGTGAGATGGTTCATGATTATGTTCAATTCCATAGAGTATTTTGGATATTTAAACCTTGTATCAATGGGTTAAAATACTGTAAGCCCATTGTTCAAGTTGATGGCACATTCTTGTATGGAAAATACAAAGGAACTCTCCTCGTGGTCGTGGCTCAAGATGGTAACAACAAAATCTTTCCAATTGTCTTTGCCATTGTTGAGGGTGAAACAACAGATGCATGATTTTTCTTTCTACATTACCTAAAAAGATATGTTTTCCCTCAAGATGGCCTTTACTTAATTTCTGAAAGGCACGAGTCCACAAAAAATGTCTACGCTGGACAAGGAAGTGGTTGGACATCGGAAAATTCAGTGTATGTGTTTTCTATTCGTCATATTGTCCAAAATTTCATGAGGCATTTCAAGAATGCAAAAAGAAAAAAGATAATCATCAACATGGGTATGTAGGTTTTTTTTTTAATTTCAAACTTATCATTAATTATTTTTATGTTTGACCATATTTCAACAATACTATGACTGAGCCAAGATTCAATTACTACTACAACACACTGAGGAGAGAACCAGAAATCAAAGGTGTAATTGAATGACTCAACACTATACCAAAAGAACAATGGACTCTTGCATGGGATAGTGGCCAACGATGGGGACACATGACTACCAACTTGGCAGAGGCAATAAATTCCATTCTTAGAAAAACAAGAAACTTGCCAATTTCTACAATTATCATGTCGACTTATAAGAGACGTAATGCCTTATTCATCCAAAGAGGGAAAGAAGTCGATAAGGCTGGCCAAATTTATACTGAAATAATCAATAAAGTTATGAGAGATGTAGAATTAAAGGCTAATAGTCATCATGTCCTCGAATTTGATCGTTATAGTACATGTTTTCTAGTGCAAGAGACCATTAACCTAAGAGAAAGACGATCGATTGGAAATTTCACGGTTAGACTACATGACAAGTGGTGTGACTGCGAGAAATTCCAGAAGCTTCACATGTCATGCTCCCCATGTTGTGGCTGCATACATTAGATATACACATTATAGTATGTTTCAAATGTATATAATGAATTATTTGGTGAACTACCTAACAAATCTTATTAGCCGGATTGTGAAGAACTACAAATCATACCAAATTTGGAAAAGATTAGAAATAAAAAAGGTCGTATGAAGTCATCTAGAATACACACTTAAATGGATATAGTTGAACCAAGACAACCAAAAGGATGTTCTCTGTGCAGCCAAGAAAAAATGTCCTTATCGTCAAGGGAATTCAAGTCAACAAGCTTAAATTGACAGTTTTTTAAGGCCTACATCTAAATTTCGATTGATTTTGTTGTGTGTCTTTCACAAGTATCATGTTTGTAATTTTAATTTGTCTTTTCATTCCAACAATTTTGTACTCTTTTTTTTACCATTTCTAATATTTAATTAAATAATACTATCATTTATTTAATAACAAATATAATTATCTATAATTATTAATACAAAATCAATATATTAAATAAATTATACATATTTACAAACATAACAAATTAATTATTAAATTAAATTATTCAATTTTTTATATTTTATAAATTTAATGTAAATAATAACATCAATTTTAAAAAATTAAATATAAGTATAATATTGAATTTTGAAATTTATACAT